CTTACAAGATGGACATATGCTGTTACGAACTTTTTTATACAACTTTTAAAGGGAAACAATTCTGCAATACTGGTTTTGGTCTTACTTAAATCTTTTACCCAGCGCACGCAACGGAAGCTCAGAAATGGAATATTTTTACCCGATTTTCTATAATTTTCATCGATGCTCCGCTCCTACTTCTACAGCCTATAGCCTTCCTTGATAAATAAACACTATCCAACACATTTTTTTTTCAATTCGGACCAGTATTTCCTGAGATTAGTCCGTTCAACCAAAAAAAAGTGCATAAATACAAGCTTGAGAACAAAAACTACACTACAGCTGTAACCGCAGTCTTCAGCAATACGTTTTCGTACCTTCACCTAAAAACAGACAAGGTGGCGAGTGGTGACAATAGGGGTGATGACGGGGTACAGTAAACAAAATTCTATTTAGTCTGTCAGTTGGATGATCAAAAGTAATGGACACGTATTTTTTTTGGGCAATCAACCAAAAAATGACAAAGTTTGGGAGTAGGGGCTCGTGACGTCACTTTTTAGTGAATTTTCACTTAAAATTGTACCAAAACGTGACGTCATGCGACTTTTCAAATCAATATATCTCTGCAATGTTTATATTATGTGAAAAAAGAAAAAATACGTGTCCAATACTTTTTAATTTACCTGATAAACGAAGAAAAAAAAATTAGTCATCATCCCTATTAATCAGACTTTAATATAAAGTAAGTACAACCTCTATTTCACCACCGAGATAAAAGATATGTTTTCTTCTCATTGTAATCTATCTCTATATTTATAATTCAGAAAAATCGGTTCGATGAGGTGTGAACCTTTAAGAGAAATAGTTACGAATGGCCAGCGCTCTCTCATCAAAGGGAATTTCTCTCTGCGCTGTTTGAATTTGGAATTCATATCTTGTCAGCATTAAGGACGAGTTTACGTTCTGCCGTCCGTTCGCAATTTATAAGATTGGCATTGGCGTGTTTTGTATAAGTAGTAAACAAAACAAAGGAGACGCGTGGGTAAAGGATAATGAGCGTTATGTTCGTGCGGGGGTTGGTCCGAAGGTCGTCAAGAGTGCTGGGTGCCTGAGGTAACCTAACACAGGTACCGGCGCGCTCGCTGGAAACCGCAAACCGGTACTCCCCTCCCTTTGCACTACCCCGCCACCGCCTCGCCGACAACAGCTCTTAGCTAAGGCTGCCATCTCTTATAATGTGGCAACCAGGATAAGATGCGTGATAGCCCCGGATTTTGAAGCCCAGAACCCGGACAGACCAATAAAAAAACAGTTAAAAAAATGTCACTATTCAACTTTTTTATGTTGATCTAGGCTAAAAGAGCTAGCGGTCTACCTCATAATAAGTGGTCACTGCTGCCCATGGACACTTGCAGCACCAAGGGCCACTCATGCGTTGCCGTAAATTTTTAAAGCCGGACTACAAATAAAACCCCGCCCGGACGCTCCCCGGACGCCCCGTAAATTAGGACAAACCCGGACGGATGGCAGCCCTACTCTTAGCTAACCAGTATTGACATATGATATAGGTACATAGATTACACCTAGATATAGTGACAACTAGTTTTTGGAAGGCTCCTTTTATTATTCTTCCCTTAGTAGATGTGTTTAAATAGGTCAATGTCCTGGATGTTTTGGATTTTTAATTAGTTTCTACTTGTGAATAACAATATATTGGTGTCGGTTCTGGCATGATTCTTTAAACTTAAAATTAAATTCAACATCAGTCTATCCTGTTCGTTCTGTATAGAGAATGACAAGGATACATTGTTGTCAAATTTAAGTTTAGATTTTCATGCCAGAATGGACACCATTATGTAACTTGAATTAAGCTGCACCAGACGAACTTCCGTGGGATGCTTGTTTATCTACACTAACCTAAAGTACAATAATTCATCTATACTAATACTAATTATAAAGAGGAAAGATTTGATTGTTTGTTTGTATTGAATAGGCTCCGAAACTACTGGACCGATTTGATAAATTCTTACACGTTTAAAATCCCTGACGAACATAGGCTATAGAGTATTTTCAAAAAAGTTAGGGTTCCGTATGAAAACTGCTATAACGTAACCCAGGGTGTGAAATAAATACCAAAAATTACCTTAAATCGCGTACGCTGCGGAAGTCATAGACAATAGAGCAACTTGATGTACTGAAGTTGCTCTAAGTTTATAGAGGACATCAACATCTAAAAAAAAAGTTTGCGATAATAGAAATCAGACCAGTATTTCTTGAGATTAGCGCGTTGAACCAAAAAAACAAGTAAACTCCAGTTTTACGATATTAGTATTATACTATATCTAATTTTCACTGAAGGTTTATAATTATATGAAGAGAGTCATAATACAAGCCTGAGAATTATAACTTAATAAAATGATTAATTTTTCGTTCCAGCCACTGTGTTTTGCGATGTTATTTATATAAACAATTAAAAACAATGTTGCATGACAAAGAGTCCTAGAAACTGGCTAGAATCTACCTAAACCGCCCCAGTAGTTAGTATTCGCGATGAACTTTGGCTTATAATGAAAATGAAAGTATGGACGCCAACGCGTCTAGTAGGCCCTTTTGGGCTATATGGAAACATAATATAATATAAATAAATATATGGAAGTTCTGGAACTTGATTATAGATGTTACATCCACAACACAGCTTTAACCACCAAATGGTCAACGGATTGCTCTGAAATTTGGCACGCAGACAGTTATTATGCCGTAGGCATCCGATAAAATAAGATAAAAGGGATGGCTGGACTCCCGTTACCTACCCTATTACGGACTTTTATTAAGATTAGAAAATGTTTTTTTCCAAACTTCAGAGAAACTAAGTGTTATTAAGTATTTGGTGTATATTAATTAGTAAATATCTGATAAAAAGAGACTGAGAGCTAAAAAGGAATGAAAGTAAAGCCGCTGGCGGAAAACTAGTATATTTCCGCTTTCCTATTGTATATTGTTGAGGTAATAGGGGTGATGACGGGGTACAGTAAACGAAATTCTATTTAGTCCGTCAGTTAGATGATTAAAAAATAATGAACACGTATTTTTTCTTTGGACAATCAACCAAAATATGGCAAAGTTATAGCGCGTCAAAGTTTCGGAGTAGGGGCTCGTGACGTCACTTTTAAGTGAGAATTTTACCAAAACGTGTCGTCATGCGACTTTTCAAATCAATATATCTCTGCAATGTTTATATTATGTGAAAAAAGAATAAATACGTGTCCAATACTTTTTGATATTCCCACATGATAAACGAAGAAAAAAATAGTCATGATCCCTACTCTTCGACATTTGGTTTTTGGGCCAGGTCTCGTCTTATCCCCCTCCACTATTATTGAGTAGATAATACTCAACTCCCCTTCCCTTGGAATTCTGGCTGTTTATAACACACAGACAACAATATTCATCTCCTGCATTTAGGTCAATGTATCGTTAATCACATCCACCGGATGTATACTGCAGATTATAATCACGTACATACACACATCAAAAAAAGTTTGCGATCACTTTGAAAAATATATTGTTTTTGTGTTACAGAAGACTTTTTAGTAAATTTATTTTTCTGTTAAGATACTAAATTTTAAAATTAGAATTAGAACGTAAAACAATAAAATAATTCAATTGTTTTTCCATATAAAAAGACATGCAATCCAAGCTGACACTCATTCAGAAATCTGACTTAGTCAATATTATCGAATTCAAAATATTTTTTCACGGAAAGTTGTGATTGCCAAGAGGATTATCAGATGTTTTACGAGCCAAAATTATAACTTTGAGGGAAGAAGGCTATTCTACGAGAGAAATAGCACGCAGAGTTGCCATATCCCAATCCTGTGTAGTAACCACGTTGCAGAGATACCACAGCATGGGTTATTTAGCTAATCGACCCCGCAGCGGTCGCCCAACTGTTTTGACAGCTGCTCAGAAGCGCTACATCAGGTTGCTGGTAGCGCGCGACCCAACAATAAACGCAACTAAATTATAAGCAGAAATACGGGCCGCCTCCGGACTTGGAAGTTAGCACTCAGACCATTCGGGATTGCTTACACAGGGCTGGATTACGAGCACGAAGGTCTTGGCGAGCACCTTTGAATTCACGAGAACGTCAGCGACGGAGATTACAGTGGGCTAGGCTCCGGCAAAACGAAGAAAACGAAGAGGAGAACATTTGGCAAAACTGCCTCTTCGTTGATGAATCGCGAATCAGTACTCTTCCAGATAACCCACTTGTCCGTGTTTGAAGAAGACCTGGAGACTCTGAAGGCAAAGAACGGCCACTGGAACGGTTCAGCAAGGCGGGAAATCAGTGTTCTTTTGGGGTGGTGTTATGATTGGGGCTAGAACGCCTTTAAATTTTTAAAACAGTAGCTATTGATGGAATCGTCAGACCTTTCCGAGTAAACCATGGGCACCAATTTGTACTGGTTGACGATAATGCGCCCGCACATCGAGCTCAACGAGTCAATGCTGCTCTCCGAGAATACGAAATCTCAAGGTTAGACTGGCTTGCCGGCTCTTCTGACTTAAATCCAATAGAGCACGCGTGGGATGGAGGTGCTCTTAAGCGAGTTGTTTGGAACCGGCAGCCACCACCCCAGGCAGTGCCGCAACTCAGGGAAGATGCTGTTCAAGAATGGGACAGTTTACCATAAAAATGCTGGATAACTTGATCCTCAGCATGCCCAGGAGGATCTACGCATGTGTTCGAGTCAGAGGAGGAGTTATTTTGTATTAGATAAACAACCATTTATTAATAAAAGGTTGGTGAAACTATCTTTTTATTTCTATAAAAGTTCTATTACAATCGCCTTAGGATAGAATTATTTTTTTTTATACTAAAAATAAAATTAGTTTTATTTTTTAATTTCAGAAAGTGTATTTTTAAATTAAAAAAGATAAAACGTAAACGATTAATTTAAATTTTGAATATATATATAGGTATATGTAGCTTTTGCAAGTGATCTCAAACTTTTTTTGATGTGTGTATAATTCAATAAAATTACTACTAATGAGCCTACAATATTGTTTATGTTGATTTGTCAACCGTTTTGTATCACAAAGTTCCAGTAATTGTTTTAAATACCTAATAAACGGTAATAAAAAATCTGATAAGTAGCCACTAACAAACTGAGGTCGCTGCTGGCGACCTGTACGTACCTAGTCACAGATTACTTTAATGTATGTATTGCAAACACCACGTAATTTAATGTAGGCAATTATTATTTGTTTTTGTGAATTTATGATTCGATTGCGATACTTTTATTGAAGTAATAAATAAATTACCAGTGTTTTCTAATTTAAAAACATTCTGTAGATATCGAAATTCAATTTAATCGTGAGGAGCTCGATGGCGCAAGTGGTTAGCGCGTTCGGCTGCGATCGTTGAACTTAAGCAACCTTCGCAGTGGTCGGTCATTGGATGGGTGACCAAAAATTACTATCTCGAGCTCCTCTGTGCTTCGGAAGGCACGTTAAGCCGTTGGTCCCGGCTGCATCTGCAGTCGTTAGCACCCACCAATCTGCACTGGGCCCGCGTGGTGGGTCTTATGTGCGCCCAATCTATTCCATCCATAGGGAAGGCCTGTACCCCAGCAGTGGGGACATTAATAGGCTGATGATGATCACCATGATGATGAATTTAATCGCGCCGCGCCGCCGCGAGCCGCCGCCGGCCGGAACTCGTCACCCGTCTAGATTCTTGATTGCTCAGATTACAGAACAAAATTCAGATGGAGTGCACGGAACACGCAATGCGTGCCACCATAGCCAATACGAAGTCAAAAGCTACTACCAATTCGCATCTGTACACCACAAACTTCCCAACGCATCGTGTTGTGTATACGTCCCGTGAATATAGGGCTGCCATCCGTCCGGGTTTCCCCGGATTTGTCCTAATTTACGGGGCGTCCGGGGAGCGTCCGGGCGGGGTTTTATTTGTAGTCCGGGTTTAAAAATTTACGGCAACGCATGAGTGGCCCTTGGTGCTGCAAGTGTCCATGGGCAGCAGTGACCACTTATTATGAGGTAGACTGCTAGCTCTTTTGCCTAAATCAACATAAAAAAGTTGATTTGTGACATTTTTAACTGTTTTTTTATTGGTCTGTCCGGGTTCTGGGCTTCAAAATCCGGGGTTATCACGCATCTTATCCTGGTTGCCACATTTTAGAGATGGCAGCCCTACGTGAATATAAGTTTTTATCAAAACTGTGCCGCCTTGTTTATGCATCGTAAAACTCAAAGACAAAAAAATACTTATGACTTCGTATTTGCTTTGGTAGCACGCATTGCGTGTACTGTGCGCTCCATCTGCCTTTTGTTCTGTGATCTGAGCTTGATTGTATTTAGTCGAATAGTTTCGTGAACGTTGCCTTCTTGGTTTGAACCAGCGACCACAATGAAAAAGATGGGGCCCTCGATCTATCGGATGGTGAACAATAAAATTAAATCATTTTTGAGATTTTGTCCAGTATACCAAAAAGTAACGAGGACCTAACAGGAGGAGTAATGTTTAAAAACTACATTTAGTTATGTTAAAATTTAAAAAAAAAACAAAATTCAATATCGTTTATTCAGTCTAGGCTGTTACAAGCACTTGTGAATGTCGAAAAGCTACGCCATCGGTTCGCAAATCTACGGCGGGAGACCTTGTACTGAGAAGAACCGGCAAGAAACTGAGCAAGGGCTGTTTTTTCTCCCTGTATTATATACAGAGTCGTCAATTTGAAAAATGACTTCAATATGAGATAACTCATGAAGTCACTTTCCATGTTATCGTTATTATGGGTCACTTACAAATAAGGCCACTCCTCTTTCGTAGTGGTAGGCAAAGACAATTATTATTCATCTGTACTTGCTGCAGGTTGTTGCCCAGCCTGATGTTAGATAGCTAGATAAGAAATTTCATTTGTTTATACGGCACACATTTACTAGAATTAACAAACTTTAAGTGAAAGTGAAGTCCAGTCGCGAAAATATATGATGCGGCAGAAGGTGTACCGCTCCAGCCATCCTCAACATGCCCGATCCCTGCCTGAATCCTGAATTCCCCATGGAGCCTTGGAACCCACACCAGCGGAAACAAAACGCCACTAAACGGTAGTGTTATTTTAGTAAATAATAATAATATCTCTTTATTACCAAAAGATTACACAACATGTACGATTTACAAAATAGTCCTCAAACTAGGTAATACTCATCTCTCTCTGTATCTCAGGGACGACAGTATGAGGGTTTGCACATGATAATAATATTGATGTACTGAATTATCATAAAGTGTTTTTTTTATATATTAGTATTAATATAGCCCCAAAGTAAGCACTGTAAAGGCTTGTTATGGGATACTAGGGTAACGGATAGATAAATATACCTATATATGTACATATCCTGTACATATATAGGTATATTTATATAAAAATACATATTAAACATCCATGACTGGAGTACAAATGCTGGTATTCATCACACAAACATCTGCTCCCACCGTGATTCGAACACGGGACCTCTCGAATCGGCGACACCATGTATCCCGGCGTACAATCCACTTGGCCATGGAGGTCATTGAAATAAAGAGAAGACAAAAAAGTTCAAGAGAGAAAGAGTTCGAGAGGTAAAATCGCTGTGCCATACAAAGCAAATTTATAAAAGTTATTTTATTCTACATCGCGTGTGTGCAAGTCACTTGATACATCATGTTGTTGCCATATATGATGTAGTCTATGAAACTATTACATAGTCGTTACCTAAAATTCGCAATGTCGTATGGCTTGTGTGAAGCTGTCGGATCTCTCTCGACCGCAACCTACATGCGCACATGAAGCCAGCACGGCCAAGGTCACTGGATGCGTTCCTCCACCCTCTATCACGTTTTAATCAGTGGATGTAGTTCAGGCGAAGAGATTTATACGAATCAATGTATATTCATGGATTTTAATTGATTTGCTGCTACTAAGTAGTGTAAAAAAAAAAGTGGGGCCTGCAGCTGTTCAACTTATACTTATAGCTGATTAAAAAAAACGAGAAATAATTGATGTTCAGACAGTTGGATGGCAAAATGACGGTCGGACAGAAAATGCAGCCGAATGTGAAGTAACGAAAGTCCTTAATCCACTTATTTGACTTGATTGCCAAAAACTGATGCATGCTTTATAAAATATTACTACTTTCTTTACACTCTCATTTTTCTTCTACTATCTATATTATTTCCGATCCTATCTCATAATTATCTTAACTTCTTCCCCTCCTTAATCCCGTTTTTCCTCAATCCTTCTCTTTTAACCTTGCATCCCCCTATACTTCCCTTTCTCTCTCGTTTCTTTTAATGCGTCATATTTTCCCTGGTAGTAAGTATCCTTAGCAGCCTTGGGCTGTGTGTGGTAATTTATCTTACCAACTCTCGTTACTATGAAATATTAAATAAAATTAGTTTTATCATATGGTACACACAACAACAAAAATTGAAAAACAGAATAAGTATTAAAAAAAAAAACAGCTCCGACGCACGACTGGAGTTTACTCCTTAAGTTCGATAGACTAACCAGACGCAAAAAGAGTTTAAAAAGTATGATACTATATGAAAGGGTAAATTAACAAATTAATGAAAATAATATACATTGTTGAAAATAAAGATCGTGCTGGGCCCTTGAAAATAAATTTACTGACAATCAATTTTAACTTACTTGAGGATTAATGAGGCGCACCTAGACAATTGGAATAGTGTTAATGCAAACTAAATGAAATCAAGGTGTACTGTATGTTTAGTGTTATGAGTGACAAGTAGAACCTAAGTCCGGTGTGGTGTTCCAAGGCGAGCTTGAGTGCTCCAACCTTGGGTCCAGTACGCTGTCCGCAAAGCTCCTCCAATTAGCACTGCACAACTCCTTTTGCCCACAGTGAATCAAACAAAACTACTTGAACGCACTGCCGATCGCGTAATTTAAATACCGAGAAACAAAATTCAAGATGCAAATTCCGTTGCAAAAAAACCCGGCCCGAGCACCACGCCGTTCAGCGGCTAGCCTAAGTATATAGACAAAACGACCGCGCGTTCGCCGTGAGAGTTTTTTCCAGACTACCCTATTTTAGCCCGTTTTAGACTAAACATCCCCCCACCCAAAGCGGCTGTGCCGCTTTCTAGTCTCGTCCTGGAAACTAGTCTACCGGTAGACGGGCGAGGGTTGCGACCGCGCGGTTAAGAGTAGAGCCATCAACCAACACTTGCACCATTCGCGGAGTCCCGTCCGCGCCAGGAATTAACTTTAAGATGCGACCCCCGTCGCCAGAACAACGATGGCAAATTAGCCTCCTTCAATAAAACCAGATCTCCTTCCGAAGGGGGAGAAGTCCGGTCTGTCCACTTTACACGTTGCTGCAATAGGTGCAGATATTCCAGTGACCAACGACGCCACAAGTCCTGACCCATTTGCTGCAACATTTGAAAGCGAGACAATCGATGTCTGCGCTCATCCGTCCAGGGATATTCGGGCAGGGCCGTGAGCGGCTGCCCGATCAAGAAATGACCAGGGGTCAGGACTTCCAAGTCATTTGGATCAGAAGAAAGAGGACAGAGCGGACGCGAATTGAGGACCGCCTCAATCTTACAAAAAATAGTGGTGAGTTCCTCATAAGTGAGAGTAGTTTCCCCGACTACTCGGTGCAAGTGGGTTTTTGCTGATTTTACAGCGGCTTCAAATATCCCGCCCCAGTGGGGACACGCTGGCACACTAAATCGCCACGTAATTCCCCTCTGTGCGAGAGCTTGACATATGCTATTACAATTCTTATCTAAGAAATCGTTCACATCTTTCAAATAATTTGCCGTACCCCTGTAGTTGGTGCCGTTGTCGGACCGAATGAGAGAAGGTAAACCTCGCCGCGAAACAAAGCGATCCAGCGCGGCGACAAAGGCTTCCGTCGTGAGAGCCGATACCACTTCCAGGTGGACGGCCTTAGTGGCCAGACAGACAAAGACACACAAATACGCCTTCGTGACCCTGGTGTTACGAT